TTTAAATATATAGAATAATAATTATTATTATTAAATATATTATTAAAAATATCTCATTGCTAAATTTGGTTAAAAAAATAAAGAGTAACAATTAAATAAAGGATATATTAGTTATTGTCTAACAAAATTATACCCCTCTCCTCCTAATTCCTCCGATTTGGAGGGGAGGGGAGGGGATCCCTTCTATGTTTGCAAGCTAAATACTTCCTCCCTTTCAATCAAACTAATTCTTGAACTTCATCTTTTTTTTCATCACATTAATGTGATTCATTGTGAATGTCGGTTTTAATATTATACTCTTGCCAAGTGTTTTTTTAATCAAGTGTTACATATTAATCCAAGTTTATTATTGAAAAAATTACTCCTAAATTCTACAAAAAAGAATTTACTATTAAGAGGTTTCATAAAATTTATAAAATACTTTTAAATTTCAAATCTTGTTCATTTACAATTTGGTTAAAGGGTTGCAAGGAAAATGACAACTTATAAATACACTTTGTTAAATTATATGTATGCAAGATTTGAAATTTAAAAATATTTTAGAAATTTCACGTGACCTCTTAATAGTAATATCTCATAATTTTCTCCTTGTTGTTCAATTGAACCTAGTATATAATTTTCTCCTCTTCTTTCTTTTGCTTTAATGGAAATTGGACAGAATTAGACAGTTCATTCATGACTCTAGCACACGTCTCAATCTGATGACTCTCCTTCAACAATCCACAAGCATTTTTCCTCTCCATCTTCTTTGACTCCTCCATGATCCTCTCATGAAGGAACATCATAGGAGTTGCCAATGAGAAATTTCGTGGAACACTGAAATGATCTTGAAGCCCCCGATCCTGACACGGCATTGCAGCCACCAGAGCCCACGTTGCAAAGAATTTTATCCTCCAAATATGATATGTCTCCGAACTCTCTTTGCAGTTCTGGAGCTTTCGTTCCTTCAAGACAATGCCTGTGGTGGGGTTGTGAGAATGATAGGAGAAACCCTTCCGACACGATTCTTTCTTTCCTTCACACCACAAATTGCTATTTTCTTTTGTCTTTCAATAGGAACAGTTTGGTAATTTTACTCTACATTTTAATTTTATTATAGCGCCCTTGCTCTAAAGTAAATTTTAGAACTTGAGGGTCTCTCTTTTTAATTAAATGTAGTCAAGGGTAGACTCGGTAATTTGGTGACTAGGCTTATTCGAGTCAAGTTCAATTCTTGTCGAACTTATTCAGATCAATCTTAAAATAGCTTACCATATGAAAAAGGCCTATACAATCAAACCTAACCCTAATCTTTCAGGCTTTTGGATTTATTTGGATTGATCTAAATGCTGAAATGATTAAATATTATTTTATGTCATTTTTTATCTACTTTCAATTTTTATTTTTTAAAATTAATATTTTCAAATTTATATTATTTTATTAATAATAATAATAATTTATGTATTTAAATTAAGTGCATTTGAGTTTGAAATTAGACTGTGCTTATTCGAACATAAAGTAAAAAAAAATTAAAATCTTTCAAATCCAACCATAAGATTTTTTTGAATTTTTTTAAGTTAATAAGTCTGAGTTTGGTTCACAATATCCCCTGTAGTCAAGGGATTTCAAATGAAATTTTCTCATAAAAGTGGGAAAATAATTCTTAAAAAAAAAAAAGGTCAGAGAAGAATGGACCACCTGGGTGCTTTGAATAAAGCTACATAATAACGATGCCAAAGGAAAAGAAGTTGGTGGAGGAAATGTAGAAGTGACAGCTTTGAAAATTCAAAAATAACACGTGAATTTTAAGAAAATTAATTAATTCAAATGATGTATTAACTGTTAAATTAAATGAATTTGCATGTTTTTATAACTTCATTGGATGAATTTATAATTTATTTTTTAAAATTTTATATTAAAATTTAAAATATAAATTATAAATTTATCATAATTAAAATATAAATTAAAAATTAAATTTATAAATTTTTAAAACTTAACATTTGAGATTTAATTTAAATTAATTATTCTCGTTACAACCTCATTGGTTTGTTTTTTAACCTCATTGGTTAAATGCCCTTAACATTGCATAATGCAGAGCCGCGATCCCGCATCACAATTATTTTTCCCCCCACTTCAATCAAAAAGTTACCCCTATTCTCTCAATTCAGACTCCATCTTCTCTCTCATCACATTCATGTGATTTATTGGGAAGGTCGCCTTTAATATTAATATTATATCCCTGCTGTTTTTTTTGGTACATAAAGGCAAGGAGATGAAGTCTCTCCACCTTCTTTTCCTCCATTTCCCTCCACTTCTCCCATCTCTATCATTCATTAATTTTTTTATTTAAAAAAATTATTTAATAAAAAAATTTAAATGATAGAGATGGGAGAAGTGAAGGGAAAGGGAGGAAAGGAAAGGAAGAGACCCCTGATACATGAAGGCAAAGCCCAAATGAAATTAAATTAAAACTAACTATGAACAAATCAAGCCTAATTTATTTCTATACAGTATATCAAACAAGTTTTTAGAAGGCTCACTCAAAATTTATAGTTCATAATTTTATGAAAAATTTTAAGTAACTAACCAATTTACATTAAAATTTCTTTTTCAATAAATATGTGTCACACGGATATACCAGCTAGCATCAAGCATAGTCTGAATTTGATGAAGGAATCAATTCTTTACATAGAAATATGACAACATCTATTTCAACATATATATAAGTGTAATAGAGTCAGATTCAGTGATACTTTATATCATTTCGGGTTTACTATTCAGTTGAAAGCAGTGACGAATTCAAGAGGGCTTACTGGACCTATGGCCCTCCCATGCTCCAAATTTTGTTTTAATTTTTTAAATAAATGAGCAGAATTTTGTTGACGAAAAATATTTAAATTAATTTTAACTCTCACTTTTAGATAAAGTTTCAGTTATGGCCCCACACATAATGATTTTTGAATCTGTCCCTAGTTGATAGTATATAAAATCACAACAATTTTTTAATTTTATTTTTAATAATATTAAAATTTATATTATATTGGTGGATAAAATATATAATTAATATTCTTTCATTTTATATTTAGGAATAAATCAAGTTTTTAGAAAACATTCAACATGTGGGGATGGAACGAGTAAGACATTTTTTAAAAATTTTAAAAATATAAGACATTTTGAATATTTTAAAATATATTTAATACTTTTTTAAAAAAAGGGTTTAATCTATCACAACATGACAAATCAATATTCAAATCCTTATTAAAAAATGTGTTCATATTTAGTGACCAACCTTAAATTGAACGTGATAGTTTTCAATAAGAAAATACTTGTAAATATAATTTGTATATTTGGTATGAATAAAATTTATTTAAACAAAAAATTTGAAGGAAAAAAAAGGGTAAATGACACAAATATCTTCTATATGTATTATGGTTTTAAAGAAGGGAAAATTTCAATGAGAACCCTTTAATCCAACTTAATTTCAATCAAAAATCCTCAAATTTTAAAATTTCACTACATATGTGGAGGATTGAAATAAAATTAAAGAGTTGACTGAAATGATCTTATATCTTTAGTAAAGCTTGGCACATGAACAACTTTTGTAAAAAAATTAACAATTGATATATGAAAAATGAACAACTAACGTAAATAAAATTTACAATTTTTATTAACAACATAACACTATTATAAATTTATAACTCTCATTTTACCTTTGCTAGTTGTTCATCTTCCATATATGAGTTATTTATACATCTAATTTTACTTGTTTATATTTATAGTGATGTTATACTTTTAATGAGAATTGTAAATTTCACCCACATTAGTTATTCATTTTTTATATATTAGTTATCAATTTTGATACACAAGTTCATGCATCAAGCTTCACCAAGGATAATAAGATTATTTTAATTAGTTCTTTAATTCTATTTCAATCCCCACGTGTAGTAAAATTTTAAAATTTCAGGAGCTTTGAATGAAATTAAGACTAATCAAAAGGTCCTCACTAAAATTTTCCCTTTAAAGAAAGTGGCATCTCGGTGCCAAAGTTAGTCTCTTTGGTTAGACTTCGACAATTGCACCATTGTATCCAAGGTTCCAAACTTTAAATGCAATGAACATTGCAGATTTACATTCAATAAGTAACCTAACTTTATTCACTTAATGTGTGACTTAATTATATTAATATTTTAAAATTATCAAGATACATTTCATTCTAAAAATTTAAAATAATTATCACAATTGAAACACTCTTTACACATGTTGTTCCTTAAAAAAATTTTTGTACTTTTTTATTATTATATGACAAAATCTCTTATTACAGTTTAATTAAATCAAATGATTGTTATCAAACTATATAAGATCTATTCATTGGATCCAAATCCAAAAATGGCATTCCCTTGGCTAATTTGATGGAGGGCTCCTTCTTCTGTTTTTTTTTTTTTTTTTTTTTAACGAGAAGACAAATTTCTCTAATCCGCTGGGAAATGTTTGAACTTTGGAGACAATCCATTTTCAATGGGAGAGTTCCAAACCAAATAGCTCTGGCAGAACTGCAATGGATGATGTGCTTTAAAGTTTCAGGAGAGTCACGTCCAAAGATTTTCCGAGCAAAAAGGCATTTGTTAATAAGCTTCCAGACGAAGAGGATAAATTTCAATGGTAGATCAAGCTTCCATAAGTGTTTCAAGACCTGGTTGTTGGAATTCGTATCATCCAAATTTTCGTTAAGACATTCTCATATTCATTTTAGTCATTTTCTGTTCATAAGACTTTGCTTTATTCTCATTTAACTGATCAATTTGGTACTTCAAAACGAACATTTCAAATTTCATATTTAAAAAAAAAAATCATTATGAACCACATTTAACAAATACTTGCAAAACTAAGGACTAATTTCTCACAATGTAACAAACTAATGTTTGATTTTTTTTGAAAGAGCAATTATATTGAGTGTCCAATTGTACTTCAAAACTTTTTCTCTCATAAGGAAATACTTATACTTTCATGTCAAAAAAATCAAGTAATACAACATGTGAAGCCCAATGATATTATTGGTCTAAAATTTCACTGTTCACTTATTCTCGTCACAATGAAAGCAAATATATATACATAGTGGTGTTATTCAGTGTTTACAAAAGCTACAAAACTTGTGTGGCCCAAAATAACCAAACGAAAACAACTAGTGCTCATTCTCATCAAATGGATCCTTCTCTGTATGAACACTTATCTTCAAAACTTCAACCCAATCCAATCATCTGCGTCTGGCCCTTTCTCTGATCATCTTCAACCCCATATACCTAATAATATATATAAAGCCCATAATTCTTCTCTTTAATCATCACATCACGGCAATAAAAAACAAATAAAAATTAAAAATTTACCTTCCAAGCATCATTAAGGTGGCCTGAGGGTTAGTTCCTGGAGATACACCAAACACTGATCCATCCACAACACGAAGAGACTCAATCCCTATCACTCTGAGATCGCCGTCTACCACACTCCCCACCACGCATCCGCCGTGATAGTGCCATATCGTGCTCACCGTCCGGCGACAGAATTCCTCCATCTCACCAAAGTTGCTCTCGTCAATCGGCAATGCCGGCCCCACGAACCTGAAATCCTCGCCCCCTAACCAGTTTCTGAACTTGAAATCTCTCATGGCTCTGCTTCTCAACACCTCGCTGATCTTCCTTGTCCCGTTCACGCACCTCCCGATGTCGATAGGGTTGCTGAAGTAGTTGAATCTTACAATCGGATTCAGCTTCACGTCCGTCGAGGACAGCCGGAGAAACCCGCTTGACACCGGCCCTGCTATCTTCGTCACTATGGAAGCCACCATGATGTAAATTGGAGACAATGGCGCTCCGATGAACAAGGAGTGAGGGAAAGAGGAAGTGAAGGGGACGAGGTTCGAGGATGCTTCAATGTAAGCCCCTGAATCTGTGATTCCCACAACTTCTATCAGAGAGGACTCTAGTGGAATCGAAGGGACAATGTTGATCCCATTTCGAGGATTATCGTAGAGATACTGTCCGACGTAGGGAAGATGATGGGCCACCGGAATTCCCCACGAAGATAGATAAGGTCTTGAACCGATCCCACTCAGAAGAAGAAGTTGAGGGCTTCCAATGGCGCCAGCACAAAGAATCACCTCGCCATTGTCGCGAGTCATAGCATGGTGGTGCCTGCACAGCCATGAAAATCTCAAGCTTCAAACACTGATTACGTCGTTCTTGAACGATTCAGAAGATTGACGATGTGGTTAATCTATTAATTAGTTACCTCCCTAATTGGTCACGATAAACAACACCTATCGCAGTTTGCTTCGAATCAGCAAAGGAAGAAGACGAAGAGGCAAGAAGAACTCTCTCGACGCTAGCGTAAACAGCGACTTTGATATTAGAAGCCCTGGCATACGATAAAAGATCTGCAGAACTGTGTCTTCTTCCTGAGCTATCGAATGTTGATCCTCCGATTTTTGTTCCAATGTAGTGATCTAAACTGAAACCATTGTAAGGATCAACGCCGGCTTCGAGCAACGCGTCGCGAACCGCCGATTGCCACGTCTTGAGCTGTGGTTCGAAGACGATGGCCTTCTCGACCCACTGGTATGATTCATTGACGAGCTTGAGGTCCCACGAAAGACCTGAGTTGGCGAAGAAGTCGGCGTCGGCTCGGCTGTAGAAGCCGGCGTTGATGGCGCTGCTTCCTCCAAGAACGCGTCCGCGGGCGTTAGGGACGCCGTCTTCGGAGGTGAAGGATTGCGCCGGAGAGTCGTAACTGTTGGCGTCGTTGAGAGTAGTCAAGAAGCCGTCTTGGGTCATAAGGTTGGGTTTGTCATTGGGAATGCCGCCGCGTTCGAGGACAAGGACGCGGTGTCTATAGGACAGAGTGGCCGAGAGGGGACAGCCGGCAGTGCCGCCGCCGACGATGATGTAGTCGTAGTAATCTTCCGGTGGGAAGATGGTGGCGTTGGAGACGAAACTCAGGTAACCGGGTAGCTCTGACTCCGATCAAAACAGAATGCAGGGAATAATTCAGAAAGATTGACAACATTTGTCTCGAGAAAATGAGAAGGAAAATGGATTACCTGGTTCAGATTGAGGTTCTTGAGCACAAGAAGCAAGGATCATCGAGAAAGGGAGACAATAGAGTAAGGTAATGGTGAAACGTGTGGCCATTTTTCTCGAGAGAGAATTTTCTTGATGATGATTCTGAGTCGGTAGAAGATGACTCTGTTTTACAGTTAAATCGGTTGCTTATTGAGTTCAATTATCCACTAAGCCATTTTTTTTTATTTCAAACTTTTTTACAAAATTATTTAAAATAATCGTCATTTTTCTGTTTAAATTTACCGAAAGAAAAACTCCAATATCATATATTCTGCTCTCTGCCAGTATTTTAAAAAATAAATCCTAATTTTGTAGATTTTGTAAATATAGTTTTTTAATAAAATTATAAAGTGCATCATTTATTGATTTAAAAATGAACAATGGTCTTTGCTCATTTCATCGTGGTTTAAGTTGCTGCATGGCAACTTCTATTTCGAACTTAAATATATAATTTTTTTTTGCCAACCACTTAAATATATAATCATTGTCTTAAATCAAATTATAACTATTCAGCACAATTAATGTAAATTGATTAGCTATTAAAACCCTTCCATTATTCAACAGAGTGACGCACATTTGTATATTAACTAAACCAGGATTGACCATTGATGTTTCAAACACAAGTGTTACTCCCACCGTTAGGATTTTTCAAAAATTTCGAAAACTAATAGGGATAATTAAATGTACTACTTGAAAATGCTTAATCTTAATGAGTAATTTTTTTCCAACAAGATGTATATTTAATCCAGCTTTTTGTAGAGTAGGCTTATATTTCTTGCAAGGGCCAAGTTTTAATAAAGAAGAATTACTTTGAGGTCCTACCTAGTATAATTAATTACTTTTACATTCATTGGCAACTGAGCTTAAAATATTAACAATTTAACTAAGCTCAGTTTTTAATGAATAAATCTAAGAATAATTAATTTTATTGAGTGAAATTTGTATATAATTCTCTTTTTTAATGATGGACTCTAAATTGATAAATAAAGCTTATGGTTTAAGCCTATTAATGGCTTACTGCCGAGCCCAAAAAGATTGGGGCCGACAACTTTGGACCTTTTTTTATTATTAAATGAATTTATATTTTTAAAAAATGTCACTAAATTTTATGTTTTCTGAAAGGTAAAATTTATTTATTTTATGTAATTGTATCTTTCTAATTTTGTGCAGGATATTTTACTTTTTTTTTTAGTGTAATGGGAAAATTCAATAGCTATGAGAAAAAAATTGTACAAGATTTCAAAAAGATACACTAAAAGGCAAAACTCAGGAAATTACATCAAACATGTATAAGTAAAAAAGCATCTCGAAGTGTGATCAACAATAGCACTAATCTAGAAAAAAACACTGATAGGGATAAAAACTTCATCAATGAAAATGCGTCTGTTCCTTATATTTTAAAGTTTCTAGCAAGTAATACTTAGTTCAATCTTTCAAGAAATATTCAGTTGAAAATTATGCAGGCACTTTATAAATCAAAATTGAACCAAGATTGTGAATTTTTGCCAAAAAAATTAGTGCAAATGTCAATTGGAAATATTTTTTTCTAGACAAATGTAGTAAAAGGGCAATCTCTGAAAGCATGATTGATATTTTCAACATTAGAATTGCATGAAGAGCAACCTTGGCTAGGGTCATCTTTCTTCTCAATTGTTTCGAATTAGTGAGGAGTTTACTCTTGAGCAATAACCAAATAAAAGTATAAACTCTCTGAGCTATTGGTAACTTCTACACTTTAGAATAGGTCATGTTAGTTAGATTTCAATAATTGAGTTGAATTGTAGTATAGGTTGATTTAATAGTAATTTGCCAGTATCAGTACAGTTAAGTTGACAGAGACGCTAGATCTAAGTAAGAATATTGCTTGCCAATAAATGTTTAAAGATACTCCATCTCAATTGACTGTGGGCATCAATAAACTCTGAGATTGGCTTCATAAGATCATCCCTTTTAATTTCAGCAAAAGAGAAAAATCTCAAGGGTCCATAATCCTCTACCCAATAGTCCCACCGGAGCTTAATATGGTTTTCGTACATGATATTTTATTGGGTCTTAGAATTTGAACTTTAGTTATGCTTGGCGTTCACAGAGTAAAGGGGCGGCAGATACAGCGGTGGCGTTATCGACATAAATGCAAGGGAGAATTTTAGGATATGGCCAAGGATGTGACATAATAATAAGCAAGGTTAAAATTTAAAATTTCAAGTCAGTAGGAATGAAATGAAATTAATTTAAATAATGAAGAAATTGAAATAACATCTATTTAAACATTGAAAAAGTAGTTGTCAGATTTACATGTAATGTTGAGAAATTAATAATTAAAGTTACTATAAATTTAAATAAATTAATTGAACAAGTCTTTTCATTTTTTTTAAATTAAAAAGTCTAATTTATAAGTAATATTGGAGAATTAATAAATAAAATTGTGATATTAACAATTATTATTGCTTCATAAGTCCAAATAAATTGATGGAATAAATCAATGATTATCAAATTAAATAAAGTAATTTACAAGTTGCGTAGGAAAATTAACTAATAAAGTTGGAAAACTAATAACTAAAGTTGCTTCATAAGGATTGAACTAGTCAATTTAGATTCGGTAATTATACTTAGTACAGACATTTTAAATAATTAAAATTTAAATTAATGGTTCAAATAAACTTACTCATTCATTAATCTTAAGTAGAATATAAATTCATAACTATTGATTTAAATTTTAACAATTTAAATGGTACCAAAACTTAACATTTATAATAAATACAGTCAACGAATTTAAATCCACAACTAGTATCTATGAAGTAACTTCAATTATTAATTTATCAATTTTAATTGTTAATTTCCTAATGTTACATGTAAATTTGAGCACTATTTTTTAAAAAAATATTTAAACAAAGGTTAGTTCAATCTTTTCATTATTTAAATTAATTTTATTTCAATCCTCATTATCTAAATTGATATTTTAGATTTTAAAGAGTTTTATTTATTATTATGTCACATCCATGATACTCTTCTGGAAATAATTTCTAAGTCCAATGTTAATGCCACTAATGCCAGAATGCTTTCAGCGAGTGAGCGTTCTATGACAGCCTTGCCTCCAAAAAAACATTCCATTGCCAAGGGAGCTGTATGGTACTATTGTTCCTATCCCAGGTTCCCTGAATGTGAAGTCATTAGGAAGACTTACAAAGGATGAAGAAAAACGATTAAGTCATCAAAAGATTCGACCTTATTTTCCATTTAAAAATATTTCATATTTTTATACAAATCTTATTTTTTAATAAAATAATTATTTATTTTTAAATTAATTCTATCTTTTCATATTACTTCAACTAAATATTCTCTAATAAATATAAAATTATTATCAATAGGGATACTTTAAAAAAAAAGACAATAATTATATTTTAAAAGACTAAAAATACTTTATATTTTTTATCATTCAATTCTTTAAAAATATTTTATATTTTTTAAAACGGGGAGAGTATTTTACAAACATAATTTTCATGCTGAAATTGAAAAGGATCCAGCTCCAGAACTTTAGCGTTGTTGATGCAGTCAAGCGATTGCGCGCGCGCGCAGAGAGAGAGAGAGAGGAGAGAGAGAGAGAGAGTAATTGCAATGTGTTGAGGCACAACGTTTATTTAAATTCAATGACAACAATGAGGATGAGATTGCTACAAATGTGATCGTTTTGATTCTAAAATGTATCAAAATCAACTTCAAAATTGAAATAGGTCCTGATCCTATAATTTAGATTTTATATTATTATTTAATCTTTAAATTTTTATCCTCGTTAAATATTGGTGGAAAAAATATATTAATGACATTTGTAATTTTATATATTTAATATGAATAAAGTTAAAAAGTTATTAAATTTTTAAATAGAATTAAGTTTTAAGGATTTTTTTAATTCTATTAAAACATATTAAAAATAACTTATAAATAAGATCAAATGAGTATGTACTAATTTAAAAAAAATAATTAAAAAATAATGAGCTTGAGTCTTTATGGGCTAAATCCTAGTCTTAACCTCATTTGAGTTGGATTTATGGTTTCCTAAATCTACCTTTTCTGTGCATTTGTAATCCTCCTAAAATTAGAAAATTCAAATTATAGCCAAAAAAAAAAATCTTTTCAAAATTCTGGATACAAACTGAAATTTCCTAAAAATCTTGATTCGTTAAAGAGATAATCTTATTAAGAAGCATTTCCATTACCATGCATGGATCAGCTCGATTCACATTCTTATTTGTAAGTTAATTCACACAAACATTATCATCTCTTAACACATATTTGACCAAAATCTCAGCGTCATCATTTAGAAAATTAACACCATGTTTCAACTGCCAATGTTCAATTTGACTGTGTTTAAGAAATCTTGCAATTGTTGGCAAATAGGAATCAAATCACTTTCCATAATGAGTTTCTTCACAAATCTTGAGCCATGATAAATGCTCACAACTAAGCTTTTAAGGGAGAGCAACATCCCAAGTCACACATGAAACTAGCCAATCAATTTCCATCCTCATTTTAAAACAAGCTCCTACATCCTATTCGTTCGATATGCCCTTACACTGATCCATTCACATTTAGTTTAACCCACCCATAAGGTGGACATTCCTGCCTAACTTTTGTTTGAGTCAAAAGTACACAATAAAAATCACTCATAAACAAACTATTATGCACAAAGTTTGCGAAGCTCGTGATCTTCTTAACTGACTCAATAGGATTAGAGTTTGTATTATTGAAAATATGATCATTATAATACTTCTAAAGAGATTGGATAATATCCCCAAAAACAATATCCTAAGGAGAAAACTCATGATGCATCTTGCTATTGAGATTTCAATAAAACCAACCACATTTGTTCACTTGCCAGAATAAAGTCCACTCTTCAGTAAGGATTAATTTTTTGCAAATAAATTGAGCAATCTTACAATCTCTTAGAATGTCTAAAACATCTTCCACTTCAAAGGCACATATATCATACAACATTGAAGAGCCAAAGATTTTGTTTTGTTGTGCAGTCATAATCCTCTTGTGTAAAGCCATCCGCATGAAAACTTGAATCCTTAATGGCCCCTTCCATTTCCACACAATATTCCAAATCTGCTCTTTAGCTTCGGTACGAGCACTT